TCTCTCTCTCTCTCTCTCTCTCTCTCTCTCTCTCTCTCTCTCTCTCTCTCTCTCTCTTGTGCGTGCTCTTAGTCTCATTGCTTTGGCTACCTTAGAGTTGCTTTCCCCTCGCCCAAGCGGTGGACAATGTTGGTCTTTTTTATGTCCACCCTTCCTCAGGAGGTACGTCTTTGTCACATCATCGGGAGGCCAAGCTATACGGCGGACCACAGGAACATCCGACTTTGTAGAAGCCTAAAGAAACCCGCCGCTGTAGTTGGGAAAGACCCGCCGAACGGGCTTTGGTCCTAGTTTACGTTCTCGCCCCGTCCGACCCTTTGCCTTATTTTTAGGGACTTTCTTGTTTTTTCTTTTATTATGTAATGTCGGATCAACACCTAAGCCCGTTGGTAGATATATTCGCAACACTAAGGCTGCGACATACTAGGCTTTGACGCCTGTTGCAAGGTGTTGCATTTATGGCGGCGGGCGACCAGGACGCAAAGTGGGTTCTTAGGGGGCAAAAAAAATTGGGGGACTGGTCCTTGGCAAAATTGCAGACTACCTACAGTTTGCGCTGGTAGAACCAAGACTTTTGGAAAAAAAAAGGATTGGTCCTCGGATGGAAGCAGACCCCAAAAAAAAGTGGGGGCATGTGAACTGCAGAAAGGCCTTATGGCCTAGACGTTGAGGCCCATCGTCTAAAAACCGGAAGGTCAGGCGCAACGAAACAGACGTTTTGCAAGAGGTAACTTTTGTGATTTTCTGTGCTCAGAGGATCCCACAGAAAAATATGAAAATTTGAGAATCCATAAAAGAGGTCGTGCTGTTTCCAGGAAAGATATTAGAACATTTAAAAAAAATCATTTAGACAGTGAAATAATAATCGTCGCGCTGATTCGGCACATTTACTCCAAATTCAGTGAGTTTTTGCGCTCAGAAGAATGCGTGAAAAAACCTGAAAATTGAACTACTTGTAGATTTTGTTGTGATCTTTCCAGGAAAAACGCTCAATAAATTAAAAAAATTCATTCCAATTGTGAAATAGATCGCGACCGCAATTTGACCCATATTTTAATTTTGCCATTCAACCTCTCTCTCTCTCTCTCTCTCTCTCTCTCTCTCTCTCTCTCTCTCTGTATGTGTGTGTGTGTGTGTGTGTGTGGTAGGCCCCTCCCTCTCCCTTTTGCCATTCAGCCTTTTTTTTTTTTTCTCTCTCTGTGGTAGGCGTTTTTCTCTCCCTCTCTCTCTATCTCTCTCTTTCTCTCTCTCACTCTCTGTCTCCTTTTCTCACTCGAATGGAACAAAACTCTCTCTCTCTCTCTCTCTCTCTCTCTCTCTCTCTCTCTCTCTCTCTCTTATCTTAATCTCTCTCTCTCTCACACTCATAACAATTCGCAGCCCGTCAGGGTTGCCTTTTCCCCCCTTGAGACATTTCAACGTTCAACGTCAATCAAATTTCAACGTTGGTGGTCGTTGGAGGGTGGGCATTTTGAGGTTTTGGGGCATTGCAAGGGCGAGGACCGCATAGGACTGGTAGCTGCGCGTAGGAGGCCGCAGTCCTTTTCCGAAATTGAAACGGTGCGGGTCCACTTTTCTTGAATTCTCGAATAGCAGAGTTCCTCAAATAGAACACGTACACGTTGTATTCGAGTTCGAATACAAACTCTACACTTTCTATTCGGATTTCAGAAAGAAAAAACTCTTGTATTCTGAAAAAATTACTTCTTTTTGTTGGAGGTCTGC